TATTAATATAGGTTTCATAGACTAATTATAGGGGAGTACAGACAAAAATAGTAATTATTAACAATAATAAAAATTCTTCTCTATGTGTCCATAAAGAGCCTACAAATAACTTTTAAAGGAAACAATCACCAGAAATTTAAGAAAAAATAACAAAAACGTTGTCTAGGGCTATAAAAACAACAGCACTTATTTCCTTTCATAGCAGCCAGTTCCCACAAAAATCTCTGAAATTTACAAAAGCATATTTTTTTTTTACAGAAGTATTGCAAAAACATTGTTTCATATTTGCTCACGTTTTTAAAGTGACTGTTTATTTATTTATTTTTGCGACCAAGCTCTTTTTGTTTTTGTTTTGTTTTTAAGCGACTTCAGCCTGGGTAGTTTTGTTCCATACTCATGTCAGATTCAGGGACTTTGAAATCGGTATAAATAAGAAAACTGTCAATTGTCCATAAGGAGTCTAAAATGAAATGTTTCGAGGCCATGTCATCGACAAAATAAATTGAACCATTGAGAGAACAAAGGCTCCTTTAAGTAAAATACTACACGTTTTCCTTTCGCTTGAGCCCCTCAGAGCCGCCAGAGCACCAAACCTCGACCTCTGTTCCCTTCACGAAGTTTCTTACTTGCTTACTTTGCTGCTGTTTGAAAGATCTGAGGGAGACCTCTTCTGACTTACTGGATGAGAAGTAAGTTTACAACTTGTTTTACCCATTTTTTTAAAGCGATATATTTAGGGCGCTTGAAAGGAAAGGATTGGCCAATCCTTTATTTATCTTCCTAACAGGTGCAGTCCGGACAGTCATAAAATCAGGCTACCGAAAAAGAATGATTTTGCCAAGTATTAAGTCCCTTTGGTGTGCATTTGCCCCAGAGTATTCTTTCTGACAACGGATAGCTCAGATCTACACCATACTGCTCCAGTACAGCATAGCCATGTTTTCTCAGGGGAAGAAGAACATTGTGGCATTCATTCATACTACTCCTTTATTCCTCTTCCAAATCTTTAACTTGCCCTAAATGAACCACTGAAAATAGAAGAATAGTTGCCCTTGATAAAATACCTTCTCCCTCTTCTCCCTTTCTTTCCCTTACTTCCTGCAAATGAACTTTTTCCCAATTTGAGAGAAAGGTAATATTTTATATATAAGATGACTTTTGTAAAGACAAACTTATTGTGGTGTTTGAAATAAACCATTCAGTCTCCTGCAGGTAGAAAGTGAAGGTCAAAGAGTGAATACAAGAGGGAGATTTCCTGTCACCAGGGTTCCTTTTCTGATGATGATTAACCGTTGAGCAATGCTGAGAAATAGGCAAGAGGTAATGAATGCTGCTCTACATTGGGATAGTTTTGGGGCTTTGTGGAGTTTTAAAATGTGATGAAATCTCTAGGGAACCAAGAAAGAAAGATATAGCAAATCAAAGAGTCCTTTGGACTTAAAGTTATTCTCCATTACTACATCCCCGCCTATTTCTACTGAAAAAGGCCAAGTTAGATTAGATAGGCAGGTATTGCCTGTTGATATAGCAAAAGAATCTGTCACAACAATGCCATCCCTTTGACTCTTCGAGCCATTAGAATGGCCCCTTAAAAATAAATGGAGATACAGTCTTTCCATATGTTTGAGTTTGCAAGAAGAGATCTCACGTGGATGATGAAGAAATGACAATGAGTCTCCCAAGGGTTTTTTGAATGGTACACAAACACCAAGGAAGAACTTTTGCCCTTTTCCTGCAAGTTAGGTGCATAAAATATAAAAGGGACTGATATGTAACAAAAAGTGAAATTCCTGTTGAAGCCTCAACTTGGTGTTTTAGAAGAGAGTTTTTCTGGTATCTTTACATTTTGACAGTTAACAATTGTCTAAGTATATTAGGAACCAGGCTTTATGGTTTTAATTGTCACAAACTACAGAGATAAAATTCTGAAGAATCATTTTCTGGGGGGTTTAAGTGCCATTTATAGTGTTTTTAAACTATCAGAGATTCTACCAAAGAAGAAAAGCTTTTGCGATTTTCTAACTTCATGTTGATAACATTGCAAAAGAGAAATTTCCAGTGAAAGGTGATTTGTCTTTTTACACGGTAGAACCCAGAGGCAATTAACTATGAGGGCTTTTAAAACAGACACTGTGTTGAACATATTTCTAAAATCCCAGCAACTAGCTCATGGTAAGTGCTCCGTTAATTGTTGATACATACATACATGTATGCAAAGCATTCCCACAAATCTCAAAGTTTTTTCCCACACCTCCTGTCATTATTAGAATAGAATAACTTAAAATTACAAGGCTTCAGGTTCTGCATGAATTCAAAGTATAAGATAGACTTTTTAATCTAGAACAGGTAGTACAAATAATATTGTTCTCTAAAGAATAAATATACAACTGATAAAGGTGGAGGGGAGGGAATGGGAAGTGGATGCTCCTTAAAAATAATGCTCTCTTCCATCAAAAGGGGTTGACAAGTCATCCAGAATATTTTCAAGTGTCTAAACAAGGACCCAACAGTTAATCACTCCCATCAGAGTTCCTTGTTGAGGCCCAAAGTTACACCTATACATTTCCCTCCTCCTTAAAAGGTCCAGCTCTCCCAAGACCCAACAACATGAAGGTCCCAGAATTAGGCCACTGTAGGTTGGGAGGCAGACGAGAGATACATCATTTGCAAACTTCAGGTGCTGAAAACTCAGCCTCTTTCAAAGAGTTGCCAGGTCCTCCTGGATCCTGGGAGGGCCAGACAGCCCATGCAGTCTATCAAGAGTGACAGCAAGTGGTCATCTCCTTCCTGGGCATGGGGAAGAGAGGTGACGAGTCTTGTAGGGGCTGGAGGAGCCTGTGCCTTGGGAATGTTTCTGCAGATTGAAATGACTCTGAAGAATTGGTTTGGAGGCAAGTTTTATTCTTGAGGTTATCATTCAGAGGGATGTTTACATGGAATAAAACCAGCCCCAGTGAAAATGAAATCAGGAGAAGGAACAAGGAACAGAATAGTTCCTGAGTTGACACAGTCCTTACTGTTCTGTTGGAAACAATATTGAAATGCAACGATTTCACCAGGAAAATTCTTCAAGGTGCAGTTCGTTTAGGAATCAGCTCTGCTGGTAAGGAAACAAGTTTTAAAATCCCTGTACTTCCTCAAAGGGTTTTAAATAAATCAGTAGTCCTCTTTTTATCTCCACTCCCACCACCCAAATTTAAACCAACCAAAGAATCTATGAGTATAAAATTACTGTCCTGGGTTGGGGGACTCCTACACAGAATATCAAGAGTGCCTTTATAGCAAAAGAAAATCAGGAGGACTTTGTATCTGTTACTTTATTAAAAATATACATTTGGTGGGGGGGGGAGCTGAAGTTAAAGATATAGTTACCTCTTTTTAGGTCTAAAATGTCATTGTCTCTAAAAGTAGAATGGGTCAGACTGAGTAGTCAGACACAAAGTAAAAGTTTATCACACCTAGCAATCAGAATAATTTAATTAGCTTTGTAGGCTCTACAGTCTGTCATCCATTTGTAGAGTAGTTTTTCAATTTTCTTGTCATTATCGAGTGGGCTTTAAAATAACATACTCAAATTCATCCAAATGTGGGATAATTGAAACAATATTCTGTCCTTACTTAGGAAACAGAATGTATTTCATCCAAATAAGCCTTAAAGAGGCTAGTCAAGTGACAGATCAAATAAAAAGGACACTTAATACACATGTAAATCATTTGCATTACAAATAAGACACTTTAGCAGGGGTTGGACTCACTGCCCGATAGTCAGGATTAAGTTCCCATATTAATGCATGCATTTGGTGTGGTTATTTCGGGCGGAAGACTTCATCCATCAATGCCCTCCACCACTAAGTAAAGCCAACATGTAAACTGATCACCACAGCCTGTCAACACTGGTTACTTAATTACATAAAGAAAATATATTTCAAAGACTTTGGTTAGTATTTCAATTCGGGTTCAACGTCTAGCATCCTTTTCAAGACTCTTGAAAATAATGATTAAAAGCAGTTTTAAGAATTAAAAATGAAAAAACTAAATACTATATTTTGCTTCCTAATTTTTTTTGCATTTATTTGCAGAAGTGAAAAATAAAAATTCAGGGAATACTAATGAAGGCTAATATGAATGAAATAAAATTTTAAGCAGATGTTTCCATTCAAAATTAAATTAAGTGTACTTGTGCTGTTAATTTGTACTTTTCACTAGTCATTCCAGTAATTCCTAATACCAATTTATTTGTTATTAATTAGTACTTTCAAAATTTTGATTTTCTTATAGAAAGGAGAAACATTTCTTCTAATGAAGAAATATTTTCATGTTTTTCAGTTTAATTATTTTTAAAAGGCTACATATTAAGAAATTAGATACAATAGGACTTGTTAAAGAACACAATCCATCAGTGATATTCAAAGATTTCTTTCCATGCAAGGATTTAATAATATGATAACTAATAAAGTGCCAAAAGCACTGAAAAAGTTAAAAAATGCCTGCATCTGTATAGTCTAAATATCTTTCCATGAAAAAAAAAAATAGCCAATCTGGAATACTGTCACAAATTCTTTTTTGAAATCTTGATCAACTTTATTAACCATTTAAAAAAGTATTCCAAGTCACACCCTCCTACACACAAATTGCAAATACATGGTGCAAAATTTGTGATTGACCCTAAGAAAATACACTTGAAAATCAACTTGTTCACCATTAGCAATTAACATCCTTAAATTACTTTAAGAATCCCTTATAATTGAATGATAAAATTATAATTTGAAACTTCAGTCAATATTCCTTTATAAACTATCATTATCAGATATTTTCAAAGTGGTATACTTTTCCTATATTTTTCCTCTGGTCTTTTTATTTTCAAGGCTCTTTTCCTGAAATCACAGTGATTCTATTATTTTATAATCTATTTAAGAAATTGGATTTGTTTAAAAATAAATACCAAAATAAACACATTTTACTTAAAAAGTACAAGAAAAAGATTTACGGGTGAGTCTTACCCTTAGTGGGTTCTGGCATGGCCACAGGAAAAAGTTACTCTCCAAAGCGTTTGCTCCCCTCCAATAGCAGTTGACAGAAACCCCGCAGGCAGTCAGGCAGTCAGGCAGTTGAGAGATGGTGCAGGTCAGTGTGACAAGCAGTTGGGGAGAAATCCTGTGCTTTTGTACTGCCTCTGAAAGTCAATCATGTGGCACCGCCCCTTCTTCGGCACAAGGATGCTGGAACTTGACAGCTATGAGGACCTTTCTCACATCTGTTGCCTGCACTCCGCTCTCTCGCCTACTGGAAGGAACCTCCTGTCCGTCTCATGTGGCTGATGAGAACACCTCTAACTTTCTAAATTCAGCTGCAGCCTCGTGTTCCTTCTTACTCTTTTTTTTTCCTCTCTCTCTCTCTCTCTCTCTCTCTCTCTCTCTCTCTCTCTCTCTCTCTCTCTCTCTCTCTCGGAGTCCTGTGTTGCCTCAGGAGTGCAAAAAGTTTGCCAGGTGATTAAAAAAAAGAAATCAAATTAAAAATTGTAATATGCAAATTCAACATCTACCTTAATTCTGACTAAGATTATAAAGGAAAATCTTTGCATTAAGATGATAATTGTATGGTCCCATTAGATTTTATTTTTGTTTGTTCTTAGTTACTGGACTTAATTTTTTCTTATTTTTGTTAATAATAACGTTAATTTGAAAAGCCAAATTTTTATGCTGAATATCTACTCTTGTTTTATCCTCCAAGAATAGCAAAGGGTTCTATTAAGTAATACTTAGCCTTTACCTCTTCTTAAGAAATATCATTTAAAATAATTACATGGCATATAAAAGAATAAAGGAATGATGCACCCTCCCACATGGACGAGGCTTGAGTACAGTGCACTAAGTGAAAGAAACCAGACTCAAAAGACCATACGCTGTGCAATTCCATTTATGTGACATGCCCAGGATACTCAGAAAGTTGATTAGTGGTTGCCAGGGGCTGGGGGGAAGGTGAATTGGAAATGACTGCTAATGTATATGGAGTTTCTTTTAGGGATGAAAATATTCTGGAATTAGACTGTGGTGATGGTTGTACAATTCAGTGAATATATTAAAAACTACTGTATTGCATACTTAAAAATATACGGGGCATGGGCAAAGAAAGCCAGGCAGACCAGCAGCCACTGTTTTGTTTCAAGAGAGCAAACAGATACACAAATCTAACTTAAGATATTGGTAGACTGTCAGATTTGGTTTCTTCTCCAAACTCTCCAGAAACCGATGGAGACTTATGAACTATCAACTGGTCAAACTAAAAAAGACATTACTTTCTTTGTCCACATTCACGCCACTGCACAGACCAGGACTAAAATGAGTTTAAATGAAAAGACTCCTTGAGTGCCTTTATTGTTACTGTGTTTTCAAGATCATTCTCAAGAGACTTTGATTGATTTATACTGAACCAGCCACACTGTCTCATTTAATTTCCCTTGTGGCTGAGAGTGCAGCTGGTCAGACTTAGCTCTACCAAACTCTGTGCCAAGCTAACTTTTCATATAAGGATGGAAACTCAACTTAGAACTCAATAGCTTCATGCTTTAGCTATGTGGGGTGAGGGGGAGGAGGACAGCCAGGATGGTCAATGAACATCATCTACCAAGAAAGCCTTTTCTCAACTATGTGGTTCCACTGATACTGTTGCTTTACTTTTAAAAATATTTATTTGCTCTTAGATGCTAAACATCAGCCAGAAAGCAGCCTATTCTGTAACGCATAGATGTGCCTTGAAAGAACAACAAAAAAAAGAAAAACCTTTTTTTTTTTTCTGGGTCTACCATGAGAGTATCGATTAATAAATAAACAAACTAAAGAACCTACAATCTGAAGTCAGACCCTTGGGTTCAATTTCTGGATCATCATTAATCAACTGAGTTACTCTAAGAAGGGCAAGTGGCCTTTCTGGGCCTTAGTTTCCTTTTGTGTAAATTGAGGAGCCTATAAAAGTGAACTTTGAAGCCCCTTCTGGGTTTAACATTGTGAGTTTATACGTGTAGTCTCTAAAAAGGAATAATTTCTTCAGCATTCCCAGCACACTGAACATGACATATGAAATCGACATAAGGCCTAAGTGTCACATTGCAGAAGAATGTTTATAGTGATGGGCAGATTTCACACATGCCACAAAAGAAGTGCTGAGCCATCATTGGCTTCTGCAGAAATTCTGTTGGGTTTTTAATACACTGATCATTTTACTGAAGAGAACAAGTGCCAGGAAATATTGCAACCCATGGAGAAAATATTTTATGACCTGGGGAACTTTTTGTAATAAAGGATTTAATTGTAAAAAGACAAAACCTAGTTGGAGGAATTAGAAGTATAAACAAATTCTATGATAAATGGTTATAGAGTATATTAGATGGTTAAAGTAAATTTTTAAGTTAGAATAATAAGTAAATATGTATAATTTCCCAGGGTTGTATTGTTTGAGGAACATATAACCCCTATTTCAGATCTTATACATTTAGAAGGCTGCAGGCTCTTTAACTCCAACATTTCTCAGGGAGCGGGAAAAATGGTCAACAGGGCTCTTCTTTGTTTCCTTATCTTAAACGCTTTATTGTTTTTTTTTCCATTTGTGTTATTTAGGATTAGATTTGGCTGAATATATTATGAACCCACAAAATAACAGTTAAATCAAGACAGAGGTCTTTCTCAATCACATAATGGAAGTCCAAAAGTAACTAGCTTAGAGTCATTATAGTGGCTCCACAATGTCATGAGAAACCATGTTCCTTCTTCCTGCCCTACTGTCCTTCAGGTACCTTCACGGTCTAAAATGGCTGCTAGTGCTCATGTCATTACATCTACATTCCAAGCAACAGAAGAAAGAAAAAGAGGACTCACTTTCTCCATGTTAAGGAACCTTCTTTCAAGTCCCACACAAAATATCTAGCACATCCCACTGCCTAGAACTTGATTACATCTGGCCATAAATGTCCACAAAAAGAGCTGGGAAATGTAGGCTTTCATTCTTAGTGATGACGGTCTTCTGTTATTAAAGAAAATAAAGAGAACAGATGTTGGATAGGCAAATGTCAATCTTTGCCACAACTTTCAAAATAAAATCAGTAATGTTCCCTTCACCAACCAAAGAGTGCAGAGAAGGATGAATATTAAGCCTCACCTTCTCCTTAACCTTACCCTCACTCCAAGGTGTGAATTAGGGTCTAAACTTCTTCTGTGTTCATATATACACATACAAACATATATTCGTAGGTAGAAAGTTCTTCATCTATTTTTATCTACATTATTCTTCAACTTGCTTTTTCTACTTAACCTGCGATAGACATCTTCTGTATTGATATGTGTATATATACAAGTATACATTCATATATATACACACAAGTATATGTATATATATACAAGTATACACACACACACTTTTTAATAGCTGAATAATAATCATTCATGGTATGGATATACCATAGTGTGCCATGTATTCTCAATTACTTCTCTTTTGATGGACATTCATATTGTTTCCAGTGTTTTGCCACTACAATTAATACTGCAATAAACATCACAGACTATATGTATATAGATATTTTTAAGTTATTAGGATAGATTGTTAAAAGTGAGTTTGCTAGTGTAGATGGATAGTTTAAGTCTTTAATAGATTTTTGCTAGATTATTTTCCCAAAAGTTTGCCTACTTAACAGGTCAACAGCAATGTGTAAGACTGTTTTTTCTCATACCTTGGATATTATTACTTTTTAATTTATCAACTTAATGGGTTAGAAAGGATTGCTCATTATTTTAGTTTCCATTTTTTCCAAAGTTTAAGCAACATATCATGTTTATTGGTGATTTCTATATTTTTCTGTGATTGCGTTCTTCAAATACTTTATTTTTTAATAGTGCTATTAACTCTGCCTTTTGCTTTTATGATTTTTTTTCCATAAAAGAGTTTAAAATTTTTTATTTATTCAAATCTGTCACATTTTCCTCTATGGCTTTAGGATTTTCTGTCTTACTTAAAAATGTCCCTCCACCCAGGCATATTCAAATACTCTCATAAATTTTCTGCAAATATTTCTAAATAGTTAAATATTTTTATTGTGTCAGTGAGGGGTCCAAACTTGTTTGCTGCCCCCACCATAGCCCCAGCTTAACAGGGAACCACGCCAGCACCATTTCACTGTTATTTTACCATGGACTTGAAATGTAATCTAAGGTTTAAGTTCCCATATAAACTTAAGTTTATTTATAGATACACTGCTAATTTTTCACTGTTCAGTGTGTGTCTCTTCAGCGAATACTATTTGAATTAATTAGCTTTAAATTAAGTTTTAATATGTAATAGGACAAGCACCACCCCATCTAATTTTTCAAAATTTTCTTTGCAATTCTTAATTTATGTTCTTCCTTATAAATTTTAAATACATTTTGTCAGTTCCTGTCATCTTCTTATAACACAAAGGATATTCTAATTATAATTATATGAATTGTTATATATTAATTCTCAGATGATTGTCATTTGATAATATTAATCCTCATCTAGAAATACAGTATGTCTCTCAAGTCAGATATCATTTTAGAGTTATTAATAACACTTTATAATTTTTCCTATTAAAATTCTACACCATTTATATTAAATTTGTGCCTATACAGTTTATGGTTTTTGTTACTATTTCAAAGGTAATTCTTTTCCCCATTTCCATTTCTTTGTGGTTACTAGGAGTATGAAAAAAAGCTATGAAGTTATTTTTATAATTATTTTGTATCTGGCCACTTAGTCAAATATTTTTTTAGCTCAAATAAGATTTTTAGGAAGGTTACTTGTATTTATCTGCTATATAATTGTATAATTACATAATATGAAAAAGTGATAATTTTGTTTTTTCAATGTTTATTGAATTTATTTTATATTCTCATTACATTAGCTAAAAGCTCAAATACAATGTTATAATAGTGTGCAGGGTGGGTCTTTCTCTATACTCTTGATTGTAATGGAACTGGACACAGCATTTAAAGATTAATGTAATATTTGCTAATATCTTGCAGTAAATACTTCTTTAGGTAGTTTTATTTATTCTTACTGACTACTGAATTTTATCAAATGTGCATTTTTGTATATATTGTTACAATCATGTGTTTTTCTTCTATTATTTGCTTATAAAATGATTATATATTTTGAAAAATTGCCAAATATTGGATAATCCTTGCCTCCTTAATAATAACCCTATTTTATTATGGTATATTTATTATTTTATTAATAAATTCTGGATTTATTGGCTAACATTTTAATTTATATATTTTTG